ATCATATTTTTTATGACACAAGTGAATGAATTTAAATGGCTTTAGGAACAGGAGGTGAGGTGTATTGAGACAGGAGGGGAAAGGGGGCATTGGGGAAAATTTATTAATTTCAGTCCTTCATTTGACATATTTTTTTCCTGGTAGCAGGGATTGAACCCAGGGGCGCTTTACCCCAGCCCTTTGTTTTATTTTGAGACAGGGGCTTGCTGAGTTGCTTAGGGCCTTGCTAAGTTTTTTGCTGAGGCTGGCTTTGAACTCATGATCCTCCTGCCTCAGCCTCTCAAGCCAGTGGGATTATAGGCACAATCCTGGCTCATTTGACTTTTAATTGATCACCTACTTGGTGCCAGGTATGAGTCAGGTACTGAGTCTATAAGAGTAGACTCAATATCAGGACAGTCTGAGGGTGAGTAGCTTGGGATCAAAGTAGATTTCCCGTAGGATGTGATATCTGAGCTAAGAAGGAGTTTACCAGGTAGAGGTGGGGAGGAGGATGACCCAGGTAGGAGGAGCTGGGTTCGAATGCCAGAGTTGAGAGAAAACTTTATGGCATATTTAAGGAACAGAGTTTTCCAAAGTGGCTTGAGCTTGGGGTGTGGAAACTTGAGAGGCATGGGACTTTCTTTGTGAGAAAATGTGTGTGTGTGTGTGTGTGTGTGTGTGTGTTACTAGAGATTGAACCTAGGGCCTTGCAAATGCAAGGCAAGTGCTCTACCAAGGAGCTACATCCCTAATCCTTTATTTATTTATTTATTTATTTATTTATTTTTTAGTTGTAGGTGGACACAAATATCCTCACTTCATTTTTATGTGGTGTTGAGGTTCAAACCCAGTGCTTCATGTGTGTCAGGTGAGCACTTAACCCCAGCCCCTAGTCCTTTATTTTTAATTTTTTAAAATTTTTTAGTTATTTTATTTGTTTTTTAAAGACAGGGAGAGAGAATTTTTTTTTTTAATTTTTTTTTTATTTTTTTTATTTTTTAGTTTTCGGTGGACACAACATCTTTGTTTGTATGTGGTGCTGAGGATCGAACCCGGGCCGCACACATGCCAGGTGAGCGCGCTACCGCTTGAGCCACATCCCCAGCCCCAATTTTTAGTTATTGATAGACTTTTATTTTATTTATTTATATGCGGTGCTGAGAATCAAACCCAGTGTCTCATACACATGCTAGGCAAGTGCGCTACTGCTGAGCGCACAACCCCAGCCCCTATTTTTAATTTTGAGACAGGGTCCTGCTTAATTGTCCAGGCTGGGCTGCAATTTGTGATCCTTTTTCAGTCTCCTGAGTACCTGGGACTACAGGTGTGCGTCACTACACACTAGCTTTATTTATGTATTTTCAGGAATTGATATACTCTTTTCCATATGGCTATACTAATTTACATGTTGTTCTTTTTTTCTGATTTTAAAAGGAATATGTAAGTTGGGTGCCATGGTGCACACCGATAATCCCAGTGGCTTGGAAGCTGAGGCCAGCCTTAGCAATTTAGACAGGTCTTGTCTCGAAAAAAAAAAAAGAAAGAAAGAAAGAAAGAAAAGGGCTGATGATGCTACTCAGTGGTAAAGTGTCCCTAGGGTTCAATCCCCAGTACCAAAAAAAAAAAAAAAAAAAAAAAAAAAGAAAAGAAAAAAAGAATATGTACTAAGCATGGATATCTCAGAATGTCCAGAAAAGCTAAAGGAGGAGGAAAAAAGTTTACCTACAAGAATTGAATTGATACATCATTTTGGGAATTTATATCTGGTAGGGTCCATTAAAATAGAAAATTCCAGGGCTTGGCATGTAGCTCAGCATTAGAGCATTTGCCCAACATATGCAAGCCCGTGGGTTCAGTCCCCAGCAACACAAGCACACAACAATAATGACTGAGGGCTGGGGTTATGCTAGACGAGGCAGAGCACTTGTCTAGCATACGTGAAGCACTGGGTTTGATCCTCAGCACCACATGAAAATAAAATAAAGGTACTGTGTCCAGCTACAACTAAAAAATGTTTGAAAAAATTATTTAAAAATATTGAAAATTCCCATATCATTTAACCTATAGATTCTACTTGTAGTAAACTACTCTAGTAGTAAAAGGTCAGAGTATATATATACATACATACATACATATATATTTATCTCCAAGAACTATTTTTTTTTTTTTTTGTATCGGGAATTGAAATCAGGGACACTCAACCACTAAGCCACATCCCTAGTCCTATTTTGTATTTTATTTAGAGACAGGGTCTCACTGAATTACTAAGCAGTTCACCATTGCTGAGGCTGACTTTGAACTCAAGATCCTCCTGACTCAGCCTCCCAGTTGCTGGGATAACACGTGTGTGCCAGCATACCTGGCTCCAAGAACTATTTTTTAAAAATATATATATTTTTTTCTTTTTATCCAGGTACAGCAGTGCATACCTGTAATCTTAGATACTTGGGAGGCTGAGGTGGGAGGATTGCAAATTTGAGGCCAGCCTCAATTAGCTAGACCTTAGTGACTTATCATGACCCTGTCTCAAAATAAAAAAAATAAAAGGACTGGGGATGTAGCTTAGTGATAAAGTGCCCCAGGGTTCAATTTCCAGTCCAAAAAAAAAAAAAAAAAAAAGACAAAAATTGAAAGGCAGGCATGACAGCACAACTGTTGTCCCAGCCATTCAGGAGGCTGAGTCATGAAAATCCTATGAACCCAGGACTTCCAGGTCAGTTTGGGCAACATAATGAGAAACCTCCACTTAAAATAAGTAAAAGAACACCATTTGTGATGGCTACTTAACATTCTGTTATGTGGCTCATTTAACCAATTTCCTATTATCAGCGTTACTTTGTGTATGAGTTCTTCATTATTATAAATAACACTTGAAATAATATTATTGTGTATTAATTTCCAAATGCAAATGAAAGAGTGACTACTGAGTGTCTATTAAGTCTCAGGTGTGCCATTAGCCACTGGAGTCCAAGCTTACCATCTGATTATACAACCAAGCACAGGATCTGAAAATGTGATTATTTTCCCCAGAACGAAAGACAGAAATACTTGCCCAAGGAAGAATAATCATTTAAAAAATTTTGCGGGGGCTTGCTGGGGTTGTACCCCACTGGTAGAGTGCTTGCCTAGCACATATGAGGCACTGAGTTCGATCCTGAGCATCAATAAAAATGAATAAATAAAAATAAACATATTGTGTCCATCTACAATTAAAAAAAAAAGTTTTTGGCTCATACTGCTAAATTCACATCCAGAAACTTTGAGGCAATTTATATGCTTCCAACAATATAAGTGAGTGATTACCCAACAGACCCCTGCTTGCTTGGTGGCTATCATTTGAAACAAATTTTTATTTTTAAAGAAAACAGCCTCTTGTAGATTTAATTTGTATTTCTTTGCTTAGAAGATTCGTTGGCTCCCCCCCTCCCCCGCCCCCCAGTTATTTCACACAGTGAATCCTCAGCTGAGTTCTATTTATGGAATATTCCTTTTCTTCTTCAGGAACATTTGATATCTCCTTTTACACAGACATTTGATATTTCCTTTTTCATCTACTGTGTTCTTACCATTTCTAGGACATTTCTAGGTATTCTATTCTATTTCTTCTTGGCAGGTACTGCACTGAATGGACTACAGTAGCTCTACATCTCCCCCACCCCTGTACTGGGGATTTAACCCAGGGCCTCCAACATGTTAGGCAATCGCTCTACCACTGAACTACATCCTCAGTCCTTATAATTTGTTTTAATTTCTGATAGGGCAAGTCTACCCTCATTTCTTTTTCTTTGTTCCCAAGAGGTCAGGGAGATGAAAGCTGTATTTGGCTATTTATTCTTCCAGGTGAACTTACAATTTTGTTTAGTCTAAGAAACATCATGTTAGGATTGCATTGAACTTATACACTGATTAGCAAAGAATGGTCGCATAATTAGCCTCTGCGAAGGATTATAGAATTGAGTTTCAGTCTTGACTGGAGCTAGGTCACAATTTCCCTATAAAGCAGATTCCCGGCTCCTTTCAGACTTCTCCAACCTTAACAGTGGTGTGTTCCTTTGTTTGGTATTCAGAGTAGAGAGAGGTCCATTAAGTAACTCCCTAGAGAAGTGGTCATGGCTCATGGCTAGCCCCAGCCCTTGAAAGTCCATTTAAATGACGCCCATGAGCCTTGGGTCCAAGAGAGCCAGCTTGGGCGCGCCCGTTTAACCCCTGGGGCCTGCGAGGGGCTGCGGTCACCGGAAGGGGCTGGCTGAAGCAAGCGTGCTCAGGACCTCCGCGCCCTCTGAGCAGGTAGGGCCTGCTCGCCGGGGTGCAGGAGCGGGGTTCCCTGTTGGCACTGGGGTCAGGTGTTCCAGGACTCCCATTCTTCCCGGAACCGGAACGACCCTGGCCTCCCCTGGAGCCCAGACCAAGGAGCCTGCAGTCCCTGAGGGCTGAGTCTTGAGAGCGCGGCCACAGCGGGGGTCGGGAAGCACGGGGCAAGAAGGGGTCGGGGAAATTGGGCATAKACCGCTAGGGGTCCCTGACTGGGGGTTCTGAGGGGTCAGGGTCAGGGTCAGGCTCAGAGGGGGTCAGCCTTGAGCTCGGGGGCTAGGCATGAGCCTGTCCCTGTCTACAGGGAGTGTGAGGTCTGAGTGTTTCGGGCGCGAGGCCTAGGTCAAGCTCTGGCCCCTGGGTAGGGAGCTGGTTGGGAGTCGGGGGTCTCAGACCCAGGGTCCTCCTGCGTGCCCCTCCCCCAAAGCGCGGCGCGGCGGCCACCCTGCCCGCCCAGCCCTCCGACCGCTTGCTGGCCCCGCCCCTCCCCGCATGCCCCGCCCCCGAAACGGGCCCGTCCCTTCACCCTGATCCCGCCCCGTCGCTCGCCCATTCAGATGTGGGTCAGGGGTGAGCGGGCGGCACCGACGTCACAAGCTTCCAAGATGGCGCCGAGCGGGCGGCTGTGAGCGGCGCTCGGGGCGCGCTGGGCGGGGAGCCGAGCCGGGCCGGCGGCGGGCGGACGGGGCGGGCGCGGGCGGCGCGGGCCGGGCGCCCAGGACGAGGGGCCGCAGACAGAGCCGGCCGGCTGATGGGCGGAGCGCCGCCGCCGACGCACACGAGGTGAGGGGCAGCGGCGAGTGTGGGGGCGCCGGCGGGGGCCGAGGACCGGGTGCGCCCACAGGGAGAGGGGCGTGGACGCGCGCGAGCCCGAGCGACGTGGAGCTGCGGGCGTGGGAGRGCGCGCGCATCAACCTGGCCTGGATGGGGGAGCACGCGAGACCCCCAGCCAGCCTGGGCTTTGTGGCCCTGGTGCCCGGCGGGGCGCAGGCGGCGGGGTCCCCGGGCACAAAGCCCCCAGGGCCGCGCCAGGCCTGGGGCGCGGGTTTGTGGAGCGGGGGTCTACTGGCGAGCGGGCGCCGACTCTTTGTGCCTTTTCATTAGCAATCTAATCCGAACAGCGTCGGGCGAGCTACGTTGCCTGACAGGCGCGCGGGTTCCCATTATGCAAACGGCCCTGTGCCTTACGGCCGCCCTTAGCTAAAAGATTTTGCAATTTCCAGAACTGCTGTCCAGTACCGTCTGCACTCCTTTTTCTCTTGTCCCCTTCCCCTCAGTAAGACCGGCCCGGACCGGGGCAAGGTCTGGTCTGGAGGGGCTGTTCCCAGAGGGCCAGGCTCTGCGGCTGGTGGGCTTACTGCCCTGCCCCCAGACCTCTTCTGTAGGCAGCCGCTTGGCAGGAAGAGAGATGGGCTTGGGGGAGGGGGTCGGCTGGCAAGGGAGGGGACCGGCTGGCTAAGGGAGGGGGCTAAGGGGCCTCAGCTTGTCACTCTGTGTTTATCTTCCAAGGTGGTTCATATTCACACAGGCCTGGGTGTGTGTGTTTGGGAGAAAATGCCTCTCCCTGGGGGGCAGTGACTTAAAGAGAGGAGGGAATGAGGCCAGATAATGCTCCCAGCGGCCCCACCCAGAACAGCATGGAACTGACTGGGGACTGGAGCCCAGTGCTGAACCTGACTGGCTGAGCGGTGGTGAAGTTATTTATCCTTGTCTTCTACCCTCTATCTTCTATCCCAGTGTCTTTTCTAGTAAGAATTGCCAAACACATCTGGAAAGCTATGTTCCCAGCCCCTTACCCCCCACTAGCAGAAGGGGTAACCCAGGGAGGCCACCCCTCTGACATATATGGGGGGAGGGGAGGGGCAGAGCCTTGCCCATAGGAATCCTGTGGTGGTGGATTGTTGACTGATGTGAGGATTGCTGTGYCTCTTGCTCCTGGGAGAGGGGGAGATCTGGCAAGTAGTGGAGGGGCCTCAGGAGCTTCTAGGCTGCACTTGAGACTACCCACCAGGGACCACAGATGGAGGTATGGTGCTGGGTCACCCAAACCCAAGACCTTTCTGGTTCTAGCATTATTGCTTCCTGGCTCCTGGCTTTGCTTCTTCACTTCCATTCCCATCTGCCAATGTTTGGACTCCCTGGGCCTCAAGAAGACATTTTTCAGGAGCACAGGCCATGTGGCTTGTTTGAGGTCCTGGCTCAAGGAAAGACTGTATGCTCAGTGGAGCAGGGTTGCTGAAGTGGTCTGAAAAAGCAGATGGGCCAGCCTCAGGCTGGCCTCTAGAGACAAAGCTATGTGGTAAGATTGCTCATTTAGTGGGCTCTTAACAAGAGGGAGGAGGTAGGAGGCTGATATTGGGGTGCTGAACTGAGTCCTTTAGTATAGGGTGATTCCAGGGAATAAGCAGCCCTGCTTGTAAATGAATCTTCTGTCCTGTGTAGTTGAGGTTATTTTGAAAATCTCTGGGCTCCACAAGGCAGACTTAGAAGAAGGCTGGGAGGAGGATCTCCACCTGCCTGAGTGCCACAGGGGAGGTCAGAACTTCCAGGTTGACTGGCTTTCCTATGGTTTCTGGTTTCCTATAGGCCAGTTTTGGGATGTTTTTGAGTGCCTGTTGCTCAGCTTCTCTGGCAGTGTGACTGAGTGCTGCTGCGTGCCCAGAATTTCTCCCTGCAGTGCCTTCCTGCCAGTTGTTGGGACTTGTAGATTAGTCACTGAGTTTTTACAAGCAATTCCTGAAAAGAAAAATTTCCCTCTGGTTGCTGGCTCTGCATAGAGGAAGAAGCAGCCTGAGGGAGCCTGGCTTTTAATTAAAGCAAAACTGAAATGATTGCTGCAATTGCTTTAAGGAGAATAGGAGGTGCAGGTGGGGCAGAGGTGATGCGCCCTGTCAAGCTGTGTGGTACCTGCTCTGGGGACAGGTTGATATGATCCTGTCCTCGCTCCCTAGCCTTGGCCAACAGCCCAGCCTTCTCCATAAGCTTCAGTCTTGGATTAATCCTCACATAGTGTTTTCTTTCCGTAGATCAGATTTCTCATTTTGTTAATAAGCACAGCCTCCGATCCACTTGAAGTCAGCTGTTGTGGACTGGGAGCAACAGGGTTTTGCATTATTGAGTTGCAGGGTCTGCTGCCTTCCTGGGAGTTCTTATTGTCTGTTAGGGTTAGATCTGAGGGGTGGAAGGGGGAGGGGATGGGGGGAGCGCCTTTTAATCAGCAGCTAGACCCTGGAGAAGGGCTGGCTGGGAGTTCTGGAGAGTTAGAAGAGTGAGAAAGGAATAAAGTTCAGTTTACCCAGGGGACCTGTGCTCTGCCTTTTTTTCTCGGCCTGTTGACCTTGAGCAGCTATCAGCCCCACCCCATACCTGATCTTGCCCACTGGTGCTGAGAGCCACTGCCCTCAGAACCCAATCACTAGGAGGATGGGAGCTCTTCCTCCTGGACCCCTCCTGCTGGTATGAGAATCAGCTCTCACTTTCTGGAAGAAGTAATGAGGTTCCTTCCCTTCTGGCTCCTTGGAGCCTGGCTAAGCATGACTAGTGAGAGGGGAACTGGACTTTGTCAGGAAATATGGAGTGCCAGACTTACTCTGCATTTACTTTAGGTACCTTTACTTTCAGTACAACCTTGAACAGTGATTAATTCTCCATACTTAAGCGGCCCTATATTTAAAATAGGAACAATTTGAGATTACATCCATGTATTACTGTCCTCCAGAGTTCAGCATGGGGAAGACAGACAGACAATTATAAGATGAGGTAATAAGGGCTGTGTGGCATGGAAGCATGGTGGGAGGAGCTAGTCGTGGGCTAGAGCAGAGCCTTGGATGCCATGCTGGTTTGCTGTTGGCTTGGAGATGAGCAATTTTAATCAGGGAGTATTGCTCTAGGTTTTCAGAAGGCAGCATGAAGAATGGGCTGGGACATGGTCAGGAAAGCCTGAAAATGTGGACCCACAAATATGTCAAGAAGCCAATCCAAGGGTACCTGCTGTCTATTAGACACTTGTGAGGATCTTTTGCAACCATTTTATTCATTCAGCTACATTTTCTGAGCACAAATTTGGTGTTTGGCCCCCATGGCTAGACTAAATTGTGCTGGTTTCTGCCTCCTGGTGCTCACAGACTTGCCTACCACTGCTAGGTTTTAAGGCTGGGTGATAGGGGCCCTTGTGCGTTTTTTTCTGTAATCCTCCTGATTCAGCATGAATCCTTTTATGACAGTAAGTGATACTGGGAGGTTAAGTAACTTGTTCTAGGACTGGAGGGTAAATGCCTTTCACTTCAGAGCCTGTGAGGGCTCATAAAATGTGTAGGGAGAGAGCTGGGATCCTGCTAAGAAAGAGTAGGGAAAACAGTCCCCTCCCAAGAATAGGTTCTGGTTCCTCATTAGGGGCTTCCAAACAAACCTGTCCAGTTTGAGTCCAGCTGATATCACCAGAATTTGCTTCCTGCTAGGAAGGGCCTTGCCCTAAGGGTTAGAGACCTGGTCTAGGGGAGGCCTGTGAGGAGGGCCTTAAGCCTAGTGTTAACCAGGAGTGGCAAAGCAAGAAAAGCTGGTGGGGACCCCAGTGAATTTGATCAGGAAAGGATGGCCAAGAGCTGGTTCTAGGTCCCATAAGAAGGGAGTGCCCTGGGAGCGGTGTGGCTGGATGAGTTAGGGAGAGTAAACTTAAGAAGCTCCCTGGGACCTTTGGGGAAGGCTTGATGAAACCCCTCCTCACCAACTTTCCATGTTTTTCTTCATAATGTCAGTGGTTAGAGGGAGGGGAAGTGTGGTTTTGGGTTAGAGCAGGGGAACTGGAGGTCTTTCTAACCTCCAAGACCTCCTCCAAGGTGAGAAGTGATAGGTCCGCCAGGTACCTTTAAGCCAAAGGGCCCTCGTGTTCCTTGTGGAATGTTAGCACATAGTAGGTGCTTGTTCCCTGTTTGAGGGTGATTCACCTCTGAGTACATAGTCGGTGTGGATGAGGAGGGATTATGTGGTGTATAGAAAGGCAGTCTGTCCCACCAAGTCTCCCCATCTTTCCCCTGGGGATTCCCAGAATAATTTAGGAAAGAATTTGGTGAGGTGGATACTTAGGTGGGAGTTTACCTGTTGTGGAGATGGAAGGACAGTTCGCTGTGGCATAGATGTAGCTGCTATGTAGAGGTGTCTTATTTCATTTTGGGGCCTCAGGATTCATTCCTAGCAGTGCCTCTGGGTGGGTGGGTATATCCTCTGGCATGTGGAAAGGGGCTGCTCCCATTCCCACACTGGAGTGAACCCTGTTGACTTCTTCATCAGCCCATTTGTGGACTGTTTAAGGGGAGAGAATGTCCTAACCCTAATCTCATATTGTGGCCTTGAAGCTCCCTTATTCTGTTGTCTTGGAAGATGATAAATTCTTGGTGAATTCTTGTTCACAAAGTGAATGAGGAGAGTGGGGCCTGGGACCTTAGTGGCTTGTGCCTGTATGAACACATTGGGGTTTTTTAGGGTGATGAATATAGACTCATGTCCTTTTAGCAGTGCTGTTGCCTGTGCTGATTGTCAGAGACTTGTGTGCTAGTGGCCTGGCTCTTACTTCCAGCTATAAATCAGGTTCCCTGGGAGCGCAGCACGTCTCTGGGTGGGCCCTGGCACCTGGTTTTCCTACTGTGAATTAGGTGTGTGGCCAAGTTTGAGACTCACTGCTCTAGCAAGTGATATATATTTGTTGATAATAGAATCAAGCTAGTGATGAGGCTGTGTAGGCCCTTGTTGTAACCTGGGGTGTTCAGAACTGTTTTACTCTGAGGGCC